GCCTGGGCTACAGACTGAGTTCCAGGACAGGCTCCAAAGCTACACAGAGAAACCATGTCTCGAAAAACCATTTAAAAAAAAAAAAAGGAGAGGTCTTCTTAAAGCTATGAAAGCCTGCTGCCAACCTTGGGTCACCGGGCCCCGGATTCTCCTGGAGGAGCAGCACCAGGGGTCTCCTGTCTCCTTGGTATAGATGAGGCACGCTTAAGAGGATGCATCTGCCTTTTAAGAAAGCAAGGTGACACATACCCCCTCCGGGGACAGCGGCCAAGGGTGGAGGTGGCCTTGCCCAAGTGGCAAGTGACGAATCTTCTACCCAAGTGTTCCCAAAGACTAAGGAAGGGACACTCAACCAGAGGGTCACGAGACAAGGACCGGCATTCAGATTGCCTTCTGTCTCTGCATCAGGGAGACTAGGGGTGCTGGCTACCCACCTGGTGACAGGCATTTTGACGGCCACCCTGATTGGCATTTTCATGTTCCAGGAAGAGGACTAGCAAAGCGCGAGAATGGCCGCAAGTTCAGGCAAGAGCAGGCCCTCCTAAGCAAACAGGAGAATAACTTCCCTTCCAGGAGGCAGCCCTCCCTGCAGAGGCCTTTTCAAACACCAAGCTCCACCCATCCATGTACTGAGGACAGGGGTGCAGGACAGGGGCTGTGGAACCCTCTCCTACCATGGCATCGGCTTCTTGAAAACTTACCCACGGTAGCCCAAGAAAGGCCACCCCAAACCTCTGGAAGAAACCTTAGTGCATATGAGCCAGCATCAGGCCCTCAAAGGCAGGAACCTGGGTCCCCAGGAGGGGCAGGTGCAGCTCAGGCCAACAGCTACCTGGCAGCCTCACAGCCCAGATACAGGACTGGAGATGGCACATCCGCTCTGCTTTTTAAGTCCTTCTCACAGCTGTCAAGTCTGTGAATTTTCCAGCAAAAAGTCGAGGGTGGGCCTCTCCCCATCTGAAAGGAGGGCTGCAGGTGGACCTGAGATCTTCACCCTGGCACTCCTGGAGCACACATCTATGACTTGGAGTTAGTACTATGCAGGTGAGGTCTCCAGATAGTCCCTTACTGGCCCATCCCAGGTCACCTCCCTCAGGTTTCTCCTGACCCTGCCTGCTCCGCCCGTCCCTCCCTACAACTGTCTCCACCTGGACATACGGATCCTTTTTTTGTTTTTTTAAGCTGAGGCCATCTCTTCCTTTGACCTCTACCATCACACACACACACACACACACACACACACACACACACACACAAACACACACACTGTAATTTAAAAAAATTTTAAACGAAAGCCCCTATGTACACACATCTAATTATCTTTACCAAGTTGTATTATTATGCAGTGTGTGTGCACATATATCAGTTTGTTTATTTATTTTTTTCATTTTTTCCAGGTTCTAAGCTGTTCTGCTAAATGTACTTTTGGGTATGGGGCATAGCTGATATGTGTGCACATACACTAAATTTACAAAGGACAAAATAAACTGCAGCAAAAACACAATCTTTCCTCCCTCAGTCATCATTTCCTGACCCGGGGCAATGAGGATCACAGTTTCTCCACTATCAAATCATCTTTAAAAGTCATAAATCGGTCATTTCATTTTATTCCCCAATGGCTTCCTGTGGTGCTGACAATAAAATGCAGCCTCCCCCCCCCCACCCAGTCACTCCTCCGAGTGCCACAAGCCAGGCTCTGAGCCTCCTGATCCCCCAGGCTCTCTCCTCCAACCACAAAGCTGCATACTTGGTTCTGACATGGGCGTAGGAGGGCATCTGTAGGTACCTCAGCCTGGAATGCCCCTCTTCCCAGATGTGTGCAGCTGGCTCCTTCTGTCTTCACGCCTATACTGAGTTCTCCCCAGGATCGTCTTCACTGGCCTCCCAATGCTTCCGCCGCCGCCGCCGCCGCCGCCGCCGCCGCCGCCGCCGCCGCCACCCTTACGTACCATTTCCCGACCTGTGGTGTTTCTTCTCATGGTCTGGTACTGTCTTTATCACACCCCCATTAGAAAGCAGCCTCCCTACAGAGAGGCAACCCACCTGTCTGTCCACCTAGTGTCATACCGCCTAGCACAGGACTGGCAGGTAACCGGCACATTCCTCCCACAAGTTTCTGTTAAGGAAAGAGGCAGATGTCTTCTGCACTGTGTTTCAACTGCAAACGGGGGGCTACTTGCAGGATCTTTCCAACACCTCGGTTTCTCACACTGGCCACCCTCCCCCACATGCCTGGTGAGGGTGAGAGGAGGGACGGGGTGCCCCTGGTTCTCCCTCTCTGTGCTATGCAGCAATAAAGACAAGAACTGGTGTCTACCCTACATTCCCAGAAACCCCTCCAACTGCCACTGGTAAGTTGGAGGTGACACCATGGCTCCTTATTTATCTAAGTCCCAGATGCAGTATGCCCTGGCAGCCAGGCTAGCTAGAATAGGTTCTCAAGTGAGCCCCAGTAACAGGAAACGGATACTACCTAGGGAATAGAACTCTCCTGGGCAGGCAGCCTGCCTGTCCCACCTGACTTCCCCTGAGCCCGAGACACCTGGGTTCCTCTCGGTGGAAACCCATCCAGTCCCAGCGACACAAGTGCACACCCAATCCCGAGCCTGCAGCGCAGACCAGGGCGTCCAGGGATACCCTCTTGAAGACATTTCCTTCCTAGGGCTTTTTCCAGGGAGAACGCTCCACGGTGCCAAGATGAAATTTTTTTAAGAATGAGGAAAAGAGGGAATGAATGGCCTTGCACAAAAACTGTGAAGGGAGGGAAAGACGGAAGAAAAAGATATGTAAGAAGGTTGATCTGAGGGATCAGAATCAATTAGAGGTGGGAAGAAGTGTGAGGTCTCTTCCCCCACCCCCCAGAAGGGAAAATTATTAAAATTGATTAAATGGACACACTCCCAAAGAGTTCTTCTGGGCTCAGTACAAGGTCATTTAAATTGTAATGGCCCAGGTTGGAGATGCCGCACCATGATAGTATGAACCAGGCCCTGGGCTCCATAAGACTGTTGTTACAATAATGACAACAGCTAGCCAGGTGTTGGGGCACACACGTTTAATCCCAGCACTCAGGAGGCAGAGGCAGGAGGATCTGAGTTCGAGGCCAGCCTGGTCTGCAAAAGAAGTACCAGGGCAGCCAGGGCTACACAGAGACCCTGTACCAAAAAACAAGTAATAATAATAATAATATAATTAATAATAATAATAATAATAATTGACAACAGCTAACTTCCCGAATGCACACGCTGAATATGGTACCCAGGAATTCCTGCACGATAGGCTAGTGCTCTACCACTAAGCTACACCTGATCCCAACAGCTAACAATTGCCTAGCACTTATTATGTGCCAGGCACAGCATCCTGAGATTACACTAAGACTTTTCATCCTCAAGACCACCCCACACGAGGTGGATATTGTCAGAATTTAATCTCACTTTACAGATAAGTAACCTGAACAAGGGGGGGGATGGGTTAAACTGCCCATAGTGATCAGCATCACCAGCGACTGCACTGGTGTACAACTCCAGCTTCCTGGTTCTAACTACTGGGTTATCTGGCTCTCCGTGGTGCAGGTTAAAGCCTTCCAAACAGTATCCTCCAAACTATCAACACATGCCAGTTTCAAAAATAGGTGCACAAATCCGCCCTTTTTTATTGGAGCACAGAAGATGTTTGGAAATCGCCAAACTCAAGCTGCCGCTCTCGGTGAGGAACAAGAGCCAAGCGTGCTGAATCCCAGCACCCGGAGAGGAACTTCCTAAGGCATGAAGTGGTTGGAAACAGGGTCTCTGGAAACCCAACTCAGAGCAGCAGCAGCATCTCCGACTGCTGTAGGTCAGACCCCTCCACCAGCGCCAGCGCGGGGGCGCCGGGCCCGGAAATTCCCACAGAGCTAAAGCAAACTTCCCAGGAAAACTCCTCGACTTCCTCCAAGCCCTGGTCACGGAGATCGCTGCCAAGAGCGCCAGCTGCTGGGGACCCTCCCAGGCGGGAGCCGCCGCTCGAGCGCCCGGGGTCCTCCCGGAAAGGTCCAGGGCTGAAGTTCAAAACTCACGTCCAGCCCAGGCCAGACTCCCGGCCTCGCCAGGGACTCTGGGGCAACTCCCACTCTCGCGTCCTTCTCCCCCAGCTCCAAGTAATGGGGCACCTCCTGCCAGGACATCTAGGCTGGCGGCGGGGAGATCTTGCGGGCGACTCTAGAGCTCCTGGGGAATCTGAGCAGCCGCAGCCGGCGCGTGCACACACACGCATGCACACACAAACACACTCGCGTGAGTGTGTGTTTACGTACCGAACGTGGGGTGGGAAAACAATGGCGAACCGCTGGGACTAAGCGACCACCCCCTTCCTCATCGCACCAGCCCTGTGCTCAAATTTATTTCTGCCGTGAAAAGGGGTGTGTGTGTGTGTGTGTGTGTGAAAGGCGCTCCTCCGACACCCCATCCTGTGAGGTAGGGGTGGCAAGGGGCAGGCTGGCGTGGAGAGAGGACAAGAGCAGCAACCGCAGAGAAACGGGAGGCGGCGCCCGGCTGATACGCCGGGAATGAACCAGAGCCGTGGGAAGGGTGCGCGCTGGACCCCAGCGGCCCCTGCACCCAGGCACCGGAGTTCCGCGTCGCGGGCACCCGAGCCCCACGCTGGGCGCGCACTGGACATCTAAGCTCGGACTGGGAATGCTAAAACTGAGCGGGTTGGTCAGGTTGGGGAGAAAGACCTGGAGCCGGCAGGTCGCAGAGGGCGGGCGGGTTGAGGACTCCCGAAGCCCAGCCCGCGCAGCGCGCGCACGCCACCCCCAAAGGCTTGCAGCCACTGCTCTCCAAAAGGACTCGGGTCAGCGCGGCGCCACCGGCCGGCGTTGTGAGGGGTCCGGTAGGATCGGCTCCGCCTGGCAAAACTTTGCCCAAGCTGGAAAGTCGCGCCGAAAGAGAGCCAGTGTGTCCCCAGGAACGCGGGGGCGCGCGTGTCAAACTTCGCGAGGCTGGGGAGAGGGGTACACTTACTAATCGGTCAGGCGCTGGCCCGGGGGTCGCAGCTCCGCGCTCCCGCTCCTGCTCCGTACGTCCCGGCGACTAGCAGCCTGGCCTTCCCGCTCACATGCCCCGGCAACGCGGCGAGCAGCGAGCCGGGGCGGCGCGGCGGGGCGGAGGCACGCCCCCCGCCGTGGGCTGGAGGCGCTCAGGACCCCCGCGGCCCGCCGGGCTCCTCTGGCCACCGTCGCGGGCTCCGAGCTGAGGCCGGGCCGGGCGGCGCCCTCCGCCGAGCCAGGCCGCTCGGCACTCTGCCCTCTGCCCCCGGCTGGCCGCCGCCGTGCTGCCTTCCGCGGTCCCGGACGCCCGGCTGCTGCGCGGGCCAGGCCGGCGGGGAGTGCGCTCTGCCCCTCCGCGCAGTTCCGAGCCCGCTCGGTCCAGAGCCAGGGCCTCCGAAGCTGAGCGCGCCGCCGCCCCGGCCTTCGACCCCCGCCGGCCGCTCCGGAGCTCGGGTTCCAGGAGCAGCAGCGCTCGTACACTTCAGTTCCCAGCCGGGACTGGAGCAGGGCGCTCGCCACTCGCTTCTGCGAAAGCCACTCGACAGCGGCGGAGGAGAAAGAGGGAGGGAGGGCGCGAGCGGGCGGGCGGGCGGGGGAGGAGGCGGGAGGGTGGGGAGATGGAGAAGGAGGGAGGGACTGAGTTTCCTCCTCCTCCTCCTCCTTCTCCTCCTCCCAGCCGCTGGTCCAGCCAGGCCTCAACAGCTGGAGACCTGTGCTGAGAAGGGGACTGCAGAGGTTCTCCAGAGCCGAGGCTGGTGGAGATGTAGTGACCACTGGGTAAAGAAAATAGGAGAAAGAAGGTGAATTCGGCCCACTCCCTCGACCCAGGTTTGAGAGTTGCTACAGAGAATCCTCATTCCTTTGAACAAGCCCTAAGAAGTTATTTGTCCAGCTCAGAGCCTCTTCTAAAACAGAGAGCCTGGATTGAACTTTATTTTTCTTCTCACTATGTAAATCAGGCAGGACTCACAGAAACCCTCTTGCCTCTGCCTCCAGAGTGCTGGGATTAAAGGTGTGCTCTACCTGGCCCAGTTTTAGATCGAATTTTTTAAAAAACTGTACTTGAGAACGGCCCTTGAAGCTGGGTGTGGTTCATACCTATAATACCAACACGGAGGAAACTGAGGCAGGAGGGTCTTGCTTTGAAATCAGCCTGAGGGGGAGGACAGACCTGCTTTTAACCTGATCTGTTCTCTGAGAGACAGCTTCCAAATGTCCCTGGCCACTCCCTAGTCCTTCCGTTTCCTGGTCTCTGCAACAAGTCCTTCATTTTCTCCTGCCCTGTTTAGGAGGAAGGCATGCTTGAAGACTCGATCCTCCTCATTCAGCCCATTTATTGAATGTCCACAACAGACCTGACCCAAGCAGGTGCCAGGGACTGCCGCATCGAATGACAGAGTGACAGCTGTCCCTGGATTCCCATGTTGTGAAGGAATGGGTCACCTACAATTCTAGCAAGTGCTAGAGTACTCAGGCAGGGTAAGCCATAGGGTCCACCAAGGACACTAAGCCATAGGGACTGGAATCAGAGTCCTCTTGAGAGAGAGGCTACCTCTGAAGTGGGTCTTGGGGACCTGTAGGAATAGGGCAGGTTGAAGGAATGCCAATTGTGGACCTGTATAACTGTCCTGAGGGATGGCCAGCTAGGAAGCTCACAAAGCCTTCTAGGGACTACATTTCATCATTCCCCATTTCTCTGCCTGGATGAGAACTCCTTTTATTGTCTTTTGCGTTTTGGATCTCAGTCTGGTATCAGCTCAGGAATTCTTTCTTGGGGATCAAATCAGGGCCAGGAGCTCCCTGCATGGGCACTGAGAACCTCCCAATCCCTTTGCCTGTGTACCCCACTGGATGGTAAACTCTTCAGGACAGGGATATGCCGCTTGTTCATGGTTAGATCCCTTGTGTCTAGATGGGACTTGGCAAAGATGGGACTTAATACATTCTTGTTTATCAGTTGGCTGATTAAAGGGAATGGGGTTCTAAGCAAGGCTCTGATGAGGTCAATCTAGCCAGAAGTATGGAGATAGGCCAGTGACCAGCGTTAAAAGGTAGGGCTAGGGTTATGGGAAAGCAGATGGGAGAAGTCAACATTAACTATTGAGGGTCTGGTTTTAGGGTGATCAAATATCCTGCAACATGTCTCCCTTTTTGTATAAATAAAAAAGAAAGGTTTTTTAACTCTTACACAGTAACACTATATACAAGAAGAACAATTATCAGGTATTGTCTAAATAAAAAAGAAAGGTTTTAACTTTAACACAATAAAACTATATGCAATAAGAACAATTATCAGGTATTGTCTATAATAAACAAGAAAGGTTTTAATTCTTTTTTTTTGAAAGGTTTTAATTCTAACACAGTAAAACTATATACCTTAAGAATAATTATCAGGGGCTGCAGAGATGGCTCAGAGATTAAGAGCACTTCCTGAGTACCTGAGTTCAATTCCCAGCAACTGCATGGTGGCTTATAACCATCTATAATGAGATCTGGTGCTATCTTCTGACATGCAGGCAGAACACTGTATACATAATAAATAAGCAAATCTTTAAAAAAAAAAGAAAGAATAATTATCATTGAATAATTACATTCACAATGTCCAGTCCATTTGTATTTGCAAATTTGGAGAAACTACTCTGTTTTTGGTTGTTTTTAACTCTTTTCTCTTTTGGCTCTTTGTAGGGCCTGCCACCCAGCTCCCAAATAAATGCACATAGGGGTTTATTCTTACTTATGAATGCCCGGTCTCAGCTTGGCTTGCTTCTTGCCAGCTTTTCTTAAATTACCCTGTCTATCTTTTGCCTCTGGGCTTTTCCCTTTCTCTATTTCTGTATACCTTTTCTTTCCTTCTTACTTTGTGTCTGGCTGTGTAGCTGGGTGGCTGGCCCCTGAAGTCCTCCTCTCCTTGTTCTTTTGCTCTTTCTTCTTCTCCTCCCAGATTTCTCCTTCTATTTATTCTCTCTGCCTGCCACCCCCCCATCCTTTCTCCTGCCTCACTATTGGCCATTCAGCTTTATCTTAGACCATCAGGTGTTTTAGACAGTCAAAGTAACACAGTTTCACAGAGTTTAAACAAATGCAACATAAAAGAATGCAACACATCTTTGCATCATTAAGCAAATGTTCCACATCATAAACAAATGTAACACATCTTAAAATAATATTCTACAACACTACTATTATCTAGCCTATCTTGGTAAATCCAAAGTTTTATACCTAAACCACTTTCTATCATAACTTGTATTACCAATCTAAAAATATCTTTTTAGACCTTAAGACATTTTCTTAGATAAACAACTTAAGCTTTTATGTCTCTCAGCATTATAAGCTTTACATCTCTTTTTTTAAGTTTCTTTTCTGAATTTAGTAACAAAAAAAATGGTATAACTATCTAGTCTTCAACCCCCATCAGAGACCCGAGAAGGATATAATATTACCTGAGTAAACAGGAAGTACAGGGCAAGCAACTTCTAAAACTATAAAAATGACAGAGACAGTGGCTGCCCCAAGTTACCTCTGTAACATTGGGGCATGTATCTTCAGCCTACAAGCCTAGAATATCTGTCAGACTTTTCTGTGGAGCAGGAATTTTGAAGGACTGACCTACCTTATCTTGCAAAGTTCAGCAGTCAACTTCCTACAGCAAGCTTTCTCAAATACAGGTCAGATTGTAAATATTTCACAGCAACTTCCTTTGTGTCCTGCTTGTCCAATTTGGACAGCATATTGTCCACAGTCGAGGCAAAGGCAGTCTTTGCTCAGTGGCTAACTTTGCCACAATGAAAGCAAACTCCATATGCAGGTTCTTCGATGCCCATCCTCTTCTCTCAAGTATATTGGTGCTGCCAGGAGCAGACACGTCTCACTCTCATGAAAAGCCTTATATTATTAAAACATCTTAAATGCCATATTCTGTAGCTCTCTGAAATGTTCAAAGACCACCTATCTATCTAATATATATGTTTAATCCTCAAAACCTACTAACATGACTACAAGTTTGATTGTTACAGATGACCAACTACTAACCTGCATTTGTTTGTTTGTTTATTTTTTATCCTTGTGTCATCGGACTCCAGACAACCTGGGAATTGAACCCAGTTCCTCTGGAACACCAGTCAGTGCCCTTAACTGCTGAGACAACTCTCTCCTCTCCTAACCTTGCATTTCTTAATTATCCTAAACAGTTTATAATGACAGCTTTCAAGAACTAGAACTTTACGTTACATTTTACACGAGCTACATAAGTACCATGCCTTAAACAAGAGTAGAAACATATATAATATGTTATAATAAAAATAACCTTAAATTTGTATTAATATACAAATATCCATACCAATGAAAAATATTTGAGACTAATAATTGCTTTTCAGTCTAAAAGTAGATTCAATAATCTAGCCTTTCATCCTGTCTTCCTATATCTCCTCTTTTTTCTTTTCATAAAGAGATCCCTATATCTAACCTCCTTTGTTTAGCTTTCTCCCTGACCATGACCAATAACAACTTGCAACTAACCCCCCTAAACAATGACAAACATCTATAACCACTGAACAACCAAAAACCACCCACCCAACTCTTGGGAATGTGGGTGTCATGTTCTTAAAATTACTTCTGCCTATCTGGGGGTGATGGAATATTTAGGGAACCCTGAGAAAATTGAGATAATGGTAAATCCTGTCCAGTCTCAGTGTGATAGGAAAGTACAAAGCTTATCTTAAGTCCTGGCTGGAGTAGTCTGTGAGGCTGGACCATCTCAGCTAGCAGTTTTGAAGTTATCCTGAGCAATTTATAATCCAAAACAGATCTTTGGGTGGTGTTTGTCAGCTTAATGGCATTACCATAGTCCAGGTGGATTTGCCATTACAGGGCTCCATCATCCTTCTGGAGACCTCAAGGGTCACTCTTAGGAATGGTCATGGTTCGCTGCAGAAAACTTAAACATTTTAAATGTCATATATGGCCAGGCAGTGGTGGCGCACGCATTTAATCCCAGCACTTGGGAGGCAGAGCCAGGAGGACCTCTGTGAGTTTGAGACCAGCCTGGTCTACAGAGTGAGTTCCAGAACAGGCACCAAAACTACACAGAGAAACCCTGTCTCGAAAAAACAAAAAACAAAAAACAAAAACAAACAAAAATGTCAAATACAGCAGATCTCTTAAAGGTTAGCGGACCACAATCTATTAAGTACACCCAGGATACACACACTGTTGTTTTTATCTAAGTTATTCTATTAACCAATAAAGTCCCGGGAGTCAGATGTTGGCGTGAAAACCTGCTAGATCAGGGAAGCCGAGAAGCAACCAGCTGACCTTCCTTTTTGGCTGGAGACCCAGCAAAAGAGTGTCTCTTCACCTGTCCCAAACCAAAAAGGCCTTTGAATCTCTAAGTCCCTCCCTACTCCTTCCTGTGCATCTCTCTATCCATCTTCCTGGGTCCTCCATACTCTCTATGTCAACAAGTCACTGGCTCCACCCTCTGACCCAAGGTTAATTTCATTAACACAGTCGAGGAGTTTCACAGTATGATCAAATATCCCACAACAGTGACTGG